ACGATCTGGTGAACATGAGTCAGCTCCCTGATGAATTGCCTGACAGTCTTACTATCATCAGAGAAACACCACAAGTTCGTGGTTTGCACACGTTTATCCGGAACAAGTACACGAAAAGGTAAGCTTTTCCTTGCAATCTTGACATTTACGCACTGGAGTGGAATGACGACATACTGACCAAAGCGATTAGATACATATCGATTTGAAGAGTAGTAGAATTGAAGAATTGCAGGGTTGCACAGTTGACGAATTGCGGAAACAGATCGATACGTAACTTATCCTTTTCGTCAATACTGTTTTTCCTAATTCTGCAATTCTTTATTGCTTTGTTCTTCAGTTGGCCACTTTATTACCGTCACAAGGTATAAACGCTGCCTAAGGTTTTTATATAGAAAAAGGCACTGTTCCGCTTAGGGGGGGGGGGTGGGCATTTTGCGGCTTAGTTGGCTACTTTTTTCAGTACATGTTAAGTAACCAGCCAGACTGTTCCTCTAAGGAGGTGGGCATTTTGCAGTTTGGCTATTTTTTCATACATGTTAGGTAACCAACCTTACTGTGATAGAACTCTTGTGAGGCTGGCACGAGTGAACCACTGTATTCACAGAAAGCGAAAGATTCTCAGGAGGTGGCTGTAGAAGCTATGCATTGTAATATTTGATGCCCCACCAACTGCTGCGAAATTACTACTTGTCTTAAAGTTTTGACGTAATTGTCTTACTCACTGGGATTCCACCGCACATCATTGGTGGCTGTTAATAAATAGCACAGGTTTATGTCGCCTCTGAGAGGCGTTCGCGTCAAAACATCTAGCCATTAAATAAATGGATCCAGCTAAAAAATTCGAGAGCTTCAGCACATCAAGAAAGTAAACAAAAATGCTGGAGTTATAACAAGAGAGAAGCCGAGGATACAAATACTTTTACGTAGAACCTCCTAGTTCAGATATTTCGCATTTTAGGGAGCATGAGCAAGGCCTAGGGCACTAAATCTAGATTTAGCATCTAGGGCATGTTCATGCTCCACAAATGTGGATGATCCAATACGGATGACGACAAAGGGTTAGATGGAAATAGTTCCAGCGATGAATCCACTGTGTGGAAGGATCAGTAGCAATCAGATCCTATCTAGCCATTTGCCATCGATTCTCTCGAAGAGTGTTCCTATCCGCAAAGTTCGAGACTGTCTTTTTCAGGAGTTCAAGAACCTTTTCCGGGTTTGAGTTCCGATTAGGGTAACTGTTCACCGCAAAATCCCTAAGGTTGACCCTAGAGGCTGAATGTAACAATCTCTATGTTTATATTATTGGCTAAAATTAATATTTTTAGAGATGAGTTGATTTTCTACTCTGAGCGCCTTACACGCATTCTTGTTGAAGAAGCCATGAATTTCATGCCGTATAAAGATGTAGAGATCGAGCTCAACAATGGTCAAAAGTGAGCTGTCTTCACATTTTTTTGCTATAAATAGTTTATTCACGAAAAAGTTGCCGAACTTCTGAACTTTGATTGAGAACACTACTTGAGAGACGGAACCTTTCTGCTTTTGTCGTACTTTTTTTTTCGAAATAGCTTAGGTCGACTGTTTACTCGAAGAGCTTCTCATGCAAAACGGATATCATCATAAAAAAGGTAGTGTGAAACCTCTTTTGCCCAGTGGAACTATTTGTCCTCTCCGGAGCTCCCTTCCTTTCAGACTTGAGCGAAGATCTCCTCCGTCACAGCATCTGCTTTGCACCAGCAGTTGATTTTCTCGTTCTCCAGAGGGCTATTTCACGTTTACCACTTTTGCAGGGTAAAAGGACGTCGTCAATGCGCCAAGATTTGCGGGATAGCAATAATGAGAGCAGGGGAGACTATGGAGAACTCTCTACGAGCGGTTGTGAAGGATTGTAAGGTAAACACTCTGTTTAGCAGTATCTCTTGGGAGATGGACAAGACAATCGTATCTGTGCATCGTCGCGCGCGGCCGTTTGCGACAGCTTCTCATCGTGCATCAGTTTTTTAATTGGAGCGGCGAAACTCATGCGAATTCAAGCCGGGCCAGGACTCCATGCCGCGTGATATCAACCGCTCCCATACTTT